TATCGTGAAAATAACTTTTTTGTCTAGTAATTCATTTAAAACACATCGAATACCGGCCCATGCAGCCTCAGCCATATGATTTGTGTCGTCAGATAGACAGCCGAAACTAAACGAGCCGTCTTTTAACTACACATAACCGGTATGAAGGGCCACATGTTGCTCGAAATAGAATGCCCCTAATCGCAAAAAAATAAAAACCTCTACTTTTTTTGAGACTCAAGAGAAAAAGTTTTGTACCTTTTTCTTCTCGGGCTTGTTGTACATGATAATTCTCGCTCCAGTCTATCTGCATAGTACCAGTGTGGTCGTCTTCTTTTGCCGCCTCTTTCGCCAGCTTTGCCGCAATAGATACTTACATCAACTTCCACAACAAACTTCTTCAGGAAATTCTGAATTGTATCGGTTACAGTTACTTTGGTAGATACGGGAGCACAGCAATTTGGCATTTTCTTCTTTTGCCATTCAGAATAAGTAATGTTAAAAGTTTCTGCGTTCAACTTTCCCAGTTCTTTCTTAAACCCGTCAACCATATCAGCATCTTTCAAGGTCTCGGACAAATCAGAAGAAAATCCATCTAAGCTTTAACCGTCGAATGTTTCGGTTTTAAATAATGTAACTTTTCGTATTTCATCTGAGGATTCAGACAGGCGACGCAGAGACAGGTGCCCCATCCGTCGTGACTGGGTTTTTTTATATGCGATGGGACGTGTCTGCAGAAAGTGTCATAGTCGATGTCTGTGCCGGTGTCTAGCTCAAATCTTTGATGCAGTACACTTAAATGATTAAGGCGATAACGTAGTTGTAGGTTGCCAAGGTGTTTTTCTTTGTCCGGACACGGTTTTGAAATGTCATCTCTGTCAAAAAACTGATTGATTTGAACTTGAAGAGGCGAGAGAGACGTTTTCTTCGGCAAAGTGTTGTTGGACAGATTAATCCCGAATTTCTTACGCAAAGCACTCTGCGAACCGCGTGCAAGATCATCCTTTGTATCTCTAAGACGATTTGTGGCACGCCGTTTGGCCGAAGGACTGACATTATCGAGAAATAAAGCTGTTGGCAACTGAGGCGGTGGCGTTTCACATCTGCCAGCACGCAGATTCTTATTTTCCTTCGCGAGACGCTGAACCGTATCGCGTAGCGCTTGAAGTTCCTGTTTCACTTTACGAGCTTTTGCACGACGTCGTTTTTTGCCTTCTTTCTTGCGTAAAACTGATTTTGCTTCGGTGGTCGGTAAGTCAGGTAGGGACGAAGAGGACGCAGCTTGTTTCTGCTGTCTGGTTGATCTCCATTTTCGTTGCTGAAGCGCCTTTTTCCGTTTAAAATCTCTGTCAAATGTTTTGGAGAGAATACGCTTAACTCGTATTTTATTTTTGTAACGCGCATCACGTGTTATGGGTTTAGTTTTCATTTCAATCTAAAATTTACGGTTGATGAATGGAACAACAGAAGCAACAGAAACAAGAGTTAAAATCCAGAATGTCTGCC